CATAGACTGCCAACATTACAAACAGGTTTATTTTGGAGATGGTAAAACCAGGCTGCTCTTTGAAGGCAAGGCTTTTGAAGCTCCATCTCACATTCTTTTGGCATCTGAGCAGGAGGGACCAGTCCCTGGAGAAAGACATCATACTTGGAAGACTGAAGGGACAGTACAGGAGAAGAAGACACAGGATGGGATGGATTAACACAGTTACTGGGATAATGCAGGGAGGTGAGTCGGAGTCAGTGAGACTGGCTCAGGATAGGAGAAGATTCAGAGCTATTGCACGTAGGGTCTACATGAGTTGAGGCAGCTTAATGGCACAGAACAACAAGAAGGAGCAATAATTTACCAAAATTTCCAAATTTTGTTTTGAGTCATTATATCTAATAATAATTGTCATGAAAATTCAGCCCTGAAGACATTTTGCAATGCTTAGAACTTTACAGTCAAAAGAAGAAAACATTCAACAGTTCTGTTTATGTTTTTGTTGCAGATACTCATTTGATAGATTCATTTGTAAAATGTTTTCAAGTACACAAATATTTTGTATCGGAATAAAATTGTGTGAGACAGATGGAGTGGAAAAAACTAGCTCAGGAGAAAAAGGGAGAATGTCAAGTTTCCAACAACTGAAGAGCCTGTTCATGAATTTTTTAAGTGGACGATGATAGATTAGAAAAAGCTTTGGGATTTAACTTTCACTGGATTCATTTAAGATAGTGAGAGAACAACTTTAGCTTACTATAACCATCCTTAGAATATGCTATACCACTTATCCATTGAAACAATTTAAATTTTTGATGAATAATATATATTTAAGAATGTTTAAGCATTTACTTTTTCAATAACTTAAAAGGAAATGTAAAGAAACAGCTTGAATTATAATTCTGTAATGGTGTCTGACTTGGTGAACAAATACTAACACTTATTGTTACTATGATTAGACATTTTCCTAGTTCACACACACATATTTCATTTTATTTTTTAAATTTTGTTTTATTATTATTTGTGTGTGTGTACCATCAGATCAGATCTGACTGATACAGGAAGAGATTGTCCCTCCTTCTTCAGCAGAGCATCTGGTGGATTCAAACTGCACACCTCTGGGACTGCAGTGCAGCTTCTTGCCACTAGGCCACCAGAGTTCACCCTCTCACACACATATTTTATTAAATGTTTATAATAACAATGTGAATAGTCTTCTGGTTACTATTGCTGCACTATCAATAGCCTCTAAACTAAATGCTGATAAAAAAACCCCAATTGTTTTCATTGGTTTACAATTTTGTGGGTCAGGAGTTTGGAGAGGGACAAGGTGGTTTATTTACACTTGTAGTCACATGTGGGGAGGGAGCGATCTCAAGGGCTGACAGTGCTGGGCACCTAAATGGCTTGCCCCCACAGTTGGCAGTTGATGCTGGGGACCCAGCTGGGTCTACTGAACCTGAAGGAGCACTGGTAGCCCAGTTTGAAGTGTGCTGTACTTCTGAAGTGTGACCATGTGTCTCTAGTGGTTCAGTTAGATTCCATCAGCTGCTCCTTGTGAGAAAGAGGGCTAGTTCCCTCTTGAGATGTATGGCTTCGGAAGCTTCGTGGAGGGTCACTGTGTGTTGGAACGAACATGACAGGACTGAGGGAGTGAGAGACTGAGCTGGATGGCTGAGTTGCCACTCTTCAGCTTGGCAATCTCAGAGCAGTCAGATTCCCTACATGACTATGGGCCTCTTCAATAATGACCATCCCAGGAGTGGTGGATGGAAATTGGCCTTTTCTGACTTAGCTCTGCGAGGAACATAATATCATTTCCATCATCCTCTCCTGATCAAAGCACCAAGACATCTATACAGATTCAAGAAGATGGATCATTAACTTTCACCTTTTGATGGTAGTTGTCAAAGACTTTGGGGATTATGATTTCAAACAATCCCATGTGATACTTATCATCTTCTCTCTCTCTCTCTCTCTCTCTCTCTCTCTAATAAGTGAGGAAATGGAAGCTTAATGGGAGCAGTAATTGATCAAAATTGGGAACCTGGGAGCCATGGATTCCAGGCTGCCAGAACTCTTCAGTGATTCATAAATGGTGGGGCAAGGAGAGGGGTTGAGGACCACAGCCTGCCAGTGCTACAGTTCCTAATATCCCACAGTCTGAAGTGGAACTGGCATTAGAACTTGGCAGCAGATGCCTCCTTGTTCTTTGACGCCAGTTTCAAGTTACACATAGCTGGTGGCCATAGTACTAACAACTGTACCAACTATCTGGGTACTTATTTTAAATGGTTTTTGACTGAATACAGGAGGACACACATGATGTGATTTGCAGTTCGCTCATTCTTAGCATTGATTCTTCTGTCATCCTAAGTCATGGATACATAACAAGAAACTGAGAAGTTCACACCTTAGATCAGGTGCACCTTAGCCCTTTAACTGATGTCATTGCTCTTTAGTACTCTGCAGAGATCCCTGACAACAGATTTTCCCAACATGACTCTTCTCTTGGTTTCTTGACTGCTGGTACTAAGGGTTAATGTCTTTGAGTTGTGTTGGAGAAGAGTATTGAATCTCCCATGGACTACCAAAAGAACATGCTGGTCTGTCCTGGAGAAAGTGAAACCAGAGTGCTCCTTGGAGGCAGGGATGGTGAAACTCCATGTCATATACTTGGGGCACAGTTGTAAAGAGGGAACAGGTTTTGAAGAAGAACATCACGTTTGGAAAGGTGGAGGGTCAGTGTAAGAGAAGCAGACCCTCAACAAGAGAGATAGACAGTGTTTGTAGCATCAAATGGGTTGGAGATTGTGAGGATGTTATGGTACAGGCAGGGTTCAGATCCATTGTTCATACGGTCTCTGTGAGTCACAGTCAACTCGACGGCACATGACAACAACAACAACAACAACAACAACAACAACAACAACAACATTCTGGGCATAGTTGTAACGATTCTCAAAGACACTAACAAGCTCTCCAGAACAGCTGGCCTCATCTTCTGTTCTTTCTAAGAAAACTCTCTTCTTTCTGATTTTTCTTCTTACCTTCTCAGAGGCTGTGAAGGTCTTCTGTATTTCTAGTGTATATCTGCGTGTCTGCAGTCGCAAGGTGATAGAAATGGTTAAGCTGGGCTACTAAAGAAAAGATTGGCAGTGTGGACCAACCAGAAGCATGATAGAAGAAAGATCCTGTCATATGCTTCAAAACTGTTGTTGTTGTTAAGTGCCGTCGAGTAGCAGGCGACTCATAGCAACCCTATGAAGGAGAGTCCTTGACACTTGGGTGCCTTTCACCCGCTCTCCAGGTTCGTAGGGTTTCCGGAGGCAAGCTATTATGCAAGTGGATGCCACTCCTCCTTCCAAGCTTGTGCTTCAAAACTAGCCACTGAAAATTCTATGCAACCCAGCTCTGCTCTGACGCAGCGTGGTGTCCCCATGAGTCGGAAGTGACTTGATTACGATGGGCTTTCACTTCATCATCTTCCCATAATTTACAGCCTTCTGAGTTTTCTACATGCATCAGCTCCCGGGGCCATTCTTACAGGCTGGTTTAGGGGTGGCTGGTGGTCTAGTCCGCAGGGGCATGCATTGCTAATCCAAAGACCACTGCTTTTCAGCAGCTCAAGCCCACCGACTCCATGGCAGAAAGGTGGACAACCGCCTGTAAGGTTTACAGCTTCAGACACTCACTGGAGGGTCAGGGTGGGCCTGATTCCATGGAAGTGACTTTGATTTGGCCAAATAATTCTGTGACAGACCACCAAGGGACTTTGTCGTGTCCTGAGCCAGAGCAGAGGTTAAACTAGAGGACCTGAGGGGGTCAGTCCTATGTGAGTAACTACAAGAGCCACTGGCCTTTTTTTTCCTTCAGGGTTGGTGCTCAAGTTTACAAGGTGCATCTTACATACATACAACCTCACACGTGAGCATGCAGGGTCCTACCACTCCTCTACTTGGCATTCGGTTCCAGCCTCAGCCTCTCCAGTTACAAGACGAATCTTACACCTGTAATCCCTCAGAGGGTCAACTGCTGAATCAGTTAGAACGGCTTAGCACTCTTCCACTAGGAATGAAAGAAAGTTTGACCCGTGTTTCCATGGATCTTGTTTCACAGCCATTCCGATGACTCCCTGTCCCAAAAGATTATGAAATGTATTTAAAATGGTATTCCAAAACGTGCACAGAAGGAGTAATCTTCACCTTACACTGATATTGTTAATGTTGAGGAAATAGTCACAAAAAACACCACCACTCCCCTTGCTTCTGAAGTACTTCAGCTTAGACTTGAACTTACAGCCTTGTTATTAGTGTTAACCATTTGCACTGCCAGGAATCCCCTTTTCTCTCCCACCATCAACACCCACATCCTGAAGGTATCCCTGTGCCTGTCTCTCCCCTCAGCCACCCTCACCACCAAAGAGACTGCCCGCCTCTCAGACTGACAGGTGTCTTGTCACATCACAACTTCTAAAACTCTAGAGGAACTTTATACTTAAGAACGATTAATGAATCTCCAGATATCTTGTATGTAACTCTGACAGGCAGCTCTGGTGGCCTAGTGATAAGGAGCTATGTTGCCAACCTAAAGGTAGGCAGTTTGAATCTACCAGCTGCTCTGAGACAGGAGAATGGGTAGTCAGTCAGTCTCCTTCCTTGCGGTTTGCAGCCTCTGAAAAATCCACTGGAGGGTCAGCTGTGAGTCGGTTCTGCCTTGATAGTGATAAGTTGTTGTTGAGTTTGCTCTCACGACCAGAGTTCAGAGTTCTTGTCAAACAAGGCAGATGCCCAAACTTCAGAAGAAATAAGCCAGTGTTGCAAAGCTGTTGCGATTGTCCTAAAAATTTCCATCTTCCGCGATGTCCCAGGTAGTGGCCTCCTTAGCTCTTCCTGGGGACGGCTTAGAGATATTCTTTCATCCCGAGCCACAGACCGGCTTCTAATTACAGCTGGAGGCAGGATAAGGTTAAGGGAGGGGGTGGGCAGGCGAGGAGAGAGGCCGGGCAGAAAAATCAATTCCAATTACTTTGATGACAGTGACTTGGAGTCTGCTTTGAGAGACACACAGGGAGTTAAAGATGCTGGCAGCCCGGACTGGGGCGGCGGGAAGTCAGATCTCTGACGAGAACACCAAGTTAAGGAAGCAGTCTGGCCTTTCTGTAGGGGGCAAAGAAAAATCTCCCAAGAAAACCCCCGAAAATGCCAAAGAGGGCAGCCTCAGCCCCTCGGGGCAAACCCAGCTCCGGGCTCGGCAGCTGGCTCTGCTGCGGGAGGTGGAGATGAACTGGTACCTGAAACTCTGTGACCTGTCCAATGAGCACACCACAGCCTGCACCACGGGGATGCCGCACAGGTAAGGTCCAGCTGCCCCGGGTCAGGATGGGGACCCCTGACAGAGGCGCTGCAGTGGGGCTGCTTGAAAGTTTGCCCCCTCTAACTGTCTGCCAGATGATGGGCACTTCAGACTGTGTAACTGTCGCGACAGGGGGGTTAGTGAAAATGGCAACTAGATTGCCGTTCAGAAAACATTTCTTGCAAGGAGACCGCAGGCGTTCATTAAGTGACAGGAAGCAAGAGTATTGTATTAAGATCCTTCTAATGTAATAGAGGCGTCAAAGATTGTGGGAAGATTGTCCCCCTCAAAAACAATAGCAAAGACTTCTGCAATCTTTTGGCACTTCCCCTACTTTGAAAATTTGGGTACAGGGAAAGAAAAGTGTTTGTCCATATGAAAACTTAGAGTTCAGTGGTATAAACTTGTTGAATGAGGGTTCATTTGGGTGCTGGGAAGAACTCTCTGACCACCAAGATGGGGGGCTGAGCCGCAGATGCAAGACAAGTAACCTCAGGAGAGCAAGGACTTTCAGAAAAAAATAAATAATGTAAGACAGATTCCTATAGATCTCTCTGCTCTACCACAAACTTAACTGCAAATTATTCAGAGCAGGACTAATTTAATAAATGCCAAGGTTATAAGGTAAAATATACTGTAACAAAAGATACAGAGTTCCTAAATGATAGAATATTACACCATGGGAGAAGGATGGCCAATCTTCTCCCATGGGATTAACGGCCTCTGAAAACCCACCAGAGGGTCAGGTATGGGTCGGTTCCGACTCAACAACAACAACAACAACAAAGGATGTTGCAAGGTGTGCTACTAATAAAAATGTCAATGGTTCAAATCCACCAGCTCTTCCTCCAGAGAAAGAGTGGCAGTCTCCCCTCTAAAGATTTACAGTCTCAGAACCCAGGGTATGTGGGGAGCGACCGTGAACTTGAATCAACTTGATGACAGGGGGATTTGTTCCTGTAAAAGAGGCCTGGCGATGCAGTAGTTAAGTGTGCAGCTGCTACCAGAGGGTCCCCATTTCCAACCCACCAGCCACTCTGTGGAGAAAGATGTGACATCTGCTTTTGTAAAACTGACAGCCTGGGGACCCTGCAGGGCAGTGCTGCTTTGTTGTGGATGCAGGTGACCTCTGGTCAGTGCTGTCTGGACATTGCAGGTTTGGGATGGGGCTTCTTCTCTTTAAGTACTAGGAGCAGTGTCTTAGGAAGTAAAGATGATTTTGAAAAGGCAATTATTATGAAAACAAACACAAAATGATTATTTATTGAATGGTAATAAAAAGAAAATGAAACAGTGTAGTTTTAATGAAATAATCAATGTGTAGAAAACCTCTTTTTTAGATACTGTGTGATATCATAAAAATTTTGAGATGTATGCCTCTAGTTTAAGCGTCTCAGGCATCTCTGGGTTTAAATTACTAATTTTTAAAAGTCACTACAAAAAGCTTATTTAGCAATTGGATTAGTTGGTGCCTGGTGTTGCCTGTAGCTGCTAATCCAAAGACTAGAAGTTCAAATCTCCCAGCGACTCCTCAGGAGAAAGATGGGCAGCCATCTGCTTCAACTCGCAGTCTCAGAAATCTGATGGAGAGACGTTAGGAGTCGGGCACTGAGTTTGAGCTCTTTTAATAGATACTTAAGACTTACTGGACTATGTTGATGTTATGTGCCATTGAGTCACCTGTGACTCATAGTGACCCTAGTACAGCAGCTCTGAACCCTGGCCTTTCCTGAGCCAAGCTCAGTAACTCTGACTCTAACTCATTGCCCCAGTTACTATATGAATCCGTCTTATCTGTGGTCTTCCTCTCCTGTGCTGTCCCTTCACCCTTCTGAGCATGATGTCCTTCTCCAAGGACCAGTCCCTTCTGGCCACGTGCCCAAAATATGCGAGACGAAGCTTCAAAATCTTAGCCTCCAAGGAGGAACTTGGTTTCATCATCTATCTCCAAGACAGGACCTATTTGTTTTCTTGGCAGCCCATGGTATGTTCAAGACTCTTCTTCAGCACTACAACTCGAAGGTATCAATTCTTCTTCTGTCTATTGATTTCAAAGTATATTCACTTATCCACTTTCCCTTTTTACAAAGAAATAACTTAAAAGATTAATGCCCTTTAGTAGAAACTTACTAAAATCAACAACAAAAGTTCAAACCCACTACTGTGGTGACCCGTAGCTACACAGTATGACTCCCATTGGGTTTCCAATTCTGCAAATCTTAATGTAAACAGACTGTGACATCTTCCTCCCTTGGGGAAGCTGTGGACTTTACGGAGCTGGTTTTTGGTTAGGCACGTACTTTCACTATCGTGCCACCTGGAGAAAATCGCTCTCAAAACTCTCAGGGAGCTCTGGTGGCAAATTGCAATTTCTTTGCTGGCAAGACGGAATGAAAATATAGCAGACTGATTCTCGTTTATAATAGGTGTGAGCATTGTTGTGTACTCAGATCCTACAATAACGTGTATCTGAAATAAATGCTGTTAGGAGATGATTAGATGGAAGCGTTGGATAGGGTGAGACCCTCAGTCCTGGTGGATTCAAGAACGGAAACTGTAGGAAGCAGGGCAGAGACTGTTCATCAGTCTTGCAGTAAGTGGCTCTGATCCCTCTTCCCAGACTGCATCACAGTATCATAATCTAATACACTTGGTACTGACTTCCCGGCCATTTCACTGAGCTGTCCTATCGCTGTGGGAGGCTCATGTCCTCGTTTGACAGGACGACTTCTTCTCTGAGGGCGGTGCCGGCTCAAAGCCCTGCCGTTGGGAAAACAATTTCCTTTTGGTGCCTGTACAGCTACAGACATGATTAAAACATTTTTCATTGTTTTCAAGCAACTGTTTATTATCATTGTAAAAGGAGAATATGGATTTGCAGAAAAAAATGGAAAAGAAAATGCAAAGAAGGAAATGAAACCAGTGGTAATATTTTGGCATGTTTTTGTCAAGTTTTTAAACTGGAATTATACTGAGTATTCTATCCTTTTAATGTTTTATATATTAAATTCTCAATAAGAATTTAAAATTTGCCTTTTCAAGAATATATCACTGCTTATCCATTCTCTATTTTGTTTGCTGTTTATCATTATCGTAGTCCAAATAATGGTACAATAGACATCTTTGCATTGAATATTAATAAAACCATATATGATTATTTTTTAGGCTTTTTTCTAGAGTAAAACAAACTGATGAATGTATTGTCATGGACTGAATCATTCCATCATTCCCTCCCTCCTCCAGTATGTGTCAACCTGGGTAACCAGGATTCCCACTGACTTGGCAGGTGTGTGATGATGTAATCTAACAGGTATATGGAAACAGTCTTGGCACCAGCAGCCAGGAAATTAAAAGG